TATTTTAAAGTGTCGATAAAGCTGCAAGTCGTCTGCATAGAGGTGGAAGTTGGAAGATATAACTTTAGTAACCGAGTTAATGAAAATAGAAAATAAGAGAGGTGAGAGAACAGCACCCTGAGGAACACCCGCACCGAGGTCGCACCAATCAGAAGATTTATTACCAAGACGCACACGTTGCGTGCGTCCCCGAAGGTAGGAATCAAACCATGAGAGAACAGAAGGAGAGATATTGCAAGAACGAAGAATAGCGAGAAGAATGTCAAAATCGACAGAATTAAAAGCACTGCTGAAGTCTAGAAGAATTAGAACTGTAAGAGCTTTATTCTCCATAGCCCAACGAATATCATCAGTAATGTTTATTAAAGCTGTTACAGTACTGTGACCAGGGCGGAAACCAGATTGGTACCTATTCAAAAGGGAATTAGAAAAAAGAAAAGTTGATAATTGCTTATGAACAATATGCTCAAGAAGTTTAGAGAGAAGGGGAAGAATAGAAATAGGACGAAAATGAGATGGGACTGAAGGATTAGATACTTTAGGCAGTGGAATAATGTGCGCCATCTTCCAAATTTTGGGAAAAGAACCGGATTCAAGTGAGAAGTTAAGTATGTGAACAAGTATAGGAAGGAGAAAAGATAAAATAGGGGTAAACATTCTTACGCTTAGGTTGTCCTCGCCAGCAGCCTCGGAAGAAATGGCTTGAATGGTATTTTTAATGTCAGTTTCGGATATTTTTGAAAAGACAAAAGATGTGCAGTCTGGCCTCGGAACCAGTGAAAGTTCTGCGAGCGTAGAATCCTTTATGTCACCATCGATAGTAGAAGGAGGAAGGGAGAAGTGTCTGTTAAGGACGCTTAAATCTACATTGGTAGACACAGTAGCAGTAGATTTCCCCACTCCTACAGAGCGCAAAAACCGCCAGGCATCAGTAGGATTGCGATCAGTAAGAGAGCTATGGAAGAAGCGTCGCTTAGCATCCCTACACATACGACTGCAGCAATTTCGAAGAACCTTAAAACGAATAAGATTGCGGTTAGTTGGACGTTTCTTATATGCTCTTTTTGCCTTATCTCTTTTTTGACCACCAAAAAAATTGACCACCCATCCAATTGCCGGCCTTTGCAATCGTCGCTTAACCTCCTCAATCGCAGATCAAACGAGCTATCCGGCACCATCGAGCTTTTCATTTGTTTATATACGGATATTGCCGTATTTTTTTGTAAAATTCAATATATTTTGATGATATGGTAAGTATGAGCAAATGAATCGTTCCTCGATATTATTGAACAGAAAATCAAAAGCAGATCGAGCGTTCTACCACCTTCATACATTTGAAGTGATACCGCAGACCATGAGATTTGTGACCGATATTGACAGATAGTACAATCTCATGAGCAAACACTTGAGTTTTTCCATACATTTTATAAGTGCATGCGATTCGTGTGATATCGTTCATTCATATCGAATAACATCGCATCTAGCCATGAGAAAAGAACCTTAGGTTACTTTCCATTCGCATAAAGCCGCGGGCACAACTAGTTTAATATAATTCTAATTTACTACTTTTCCAAACAGGAAACAGTCCATGTTTCCTATGGATGACGAAAATATTTCGAAATCGTCGACGAAAAATATGGCACGAATATTTTTTAATTAATATTTATAATTTTATTGATATATTGTCATCGCTATTTATATTTATAGCCTATGATTTGGCTAAACTTGTTTCTTTTAATTTTTGTCCGATCTTAGCAGTCGTGTTTTTAATTTTTAAATAATTTTTATATTTTATTCATTTTAGTGAGCAGTTAATTTTGTATACAGATTATATATTTTTAATGGACCTTTAATTTGATACCCATAAAGTTATGATTATAAAAAAACATACTTTTTTAAATGGCGTCACACGTCCCCATACCTATTTAATATTAATAATTAAGCTAGTTTCACTGATACTCTATGTATTTTGTGGTAACTTAGGATGATGTTTCTAATGATACCCTGTACATTCATATCCGTTATATCTTTCAAAAGTTATGGTGCAATAAAAATACTCACATACATACATTAATTCTAAAAACAATAGACTCCTTTTCGAGAGCAGTCGTTTAAAATATTCGGGAATCGATAATGAATCTCACCATAGAAATACTAAAATAAATACAAAAATTGGGAAAAGTATCAAAATAGCTTGAACGTGGTTTCAACACAGTATTGTGGACTCGTGACCTTGAACAAGTTCTCGAGAACTCAAATCACAGAGTGAAAATTTGTAGTGGCTACTGAATTTTATAAATAGATTAAGCTTTATTAGCGTCTCTAGCCGAATTAGTTTATTACTGTATTTTGGCTTACAGCGCCCTCCCAGCATTGTCTATATCATCTGTTAAATAGTATATTTCGGGTATGTTCCGATATACACTGCGAGCACTGCGCAGTGGTCTTACTGCTGAAAAATCCGTTCCGTTATGGACTGCCAGTACACTGCTACAGTACCGTAGGGAAATTTATGACGTCATAAATTGCCGCCATATTTGTACTGTGAGCACTGGAGATTTCGAGGTAAGGTGCTCGCAGTGCTTTTGATCACGTGATCAGTCGAAACAGAATCAGAAAATGATAAGTTTCTAAATAAACAAAAAAAAAATACTTACGTTTATTTATAAAATGGATTTAATTGATAAATAATTTTTTTATACAATTTTCCAATTTTCTTTTGAAAAGAGGGAATCTTTATATTTATATTCACCTTGCATTAACAAATTTGAAAATGGCGCCAAAAAATAGGATTAACAGTATACTGGACTGCGTTCCGTTTTAAAAAGTCACCAGTATAACTAGCTTTAAAGGAACGGGCTTCCAGTATACTAAATTGACGTCATACTGTTCAGTGGTCGCAGTGTATATCGGAACATACCCTTCATTACAAGTGCGGAAAGGCTGTCATTGCAACTAGTTTCGATAAATGTCTACCCGAGCCTAGGCGCAGCCGAAGGCGAGGGTTGACAGTAGGAACGAGTTGCAATGACGGTACCGCACGTGTACTGAACGACTATTTTTAATGCAGTTGCGAAAAAATGAAGCAATTTAATAAAATAATAAAAACAAAATAAACTCAACTAACTAATCATTTATATTTTATAGAAGTTATAATTCACATATACATTGAAATTGGTACAGTTTTTTATACTAACTGGGGAAGTTTTAGGTTGCATATTTACTGTTTGAGATAAACTATTATTAATTTCGTATGATTGTTCATGTATATTTGTCATACAATGGCGTTTGCTAGTTGATGGAACTGGATCTGATGAATTATCATTATCAACGTCGGTAGATGGACGAACGTTCTCTTCAACGTATGAAGGAGACGGACAGGACTTTAAATTAATGGATTGTGTGATTTTTTTCCAGTTTCTTGTTTAATGAATCACCAGTATAGCTTTTCGTAACAAACACCAAACAAAATTTCTTTTTTTTTTTTTTGTTTATTTATTAACGGCTTTGGAAATATCCATACAGCCACATCTTTAGTACATTATATCACCAGCCCTTTTTACGTCCCCACTGCAGGGGCTCAGGCCTTCCTTATGGATGGTTAAGGAGGATTAGTACATTGTTCTTTATAAAACAAAATTTCTGGAAAATGGCGCCATTTTTTCTTCACCCATCCTGGTAGGCAAAGGGAACTATGCCCATACATACATAGTCTTCAGTAGATTTTTTTATTGATTTGAAATGAAAATGAAATTTAATGAGATAAAATAAAACGAAACGTAACCTCACTAATTCAATCAAATCATTAAATTTGATATCGAAAATACATACGCTACGTGTTTATATGAATCATAAAAACTTCTTTGTTTTTTTTTTAAAGTAAAATCTTCATGGTTGGTTTATCTTATTTATAGACATTATTTTGACAGTTAGGAAAGAGAATGCACGAGTGCGGGTAAGGTAAAAAAAAAACCACGAGTGTGTAATAGCCCACTTCCCGAACGCTTTACGTCCCTGCAATACGCCACTCTTTGAGCAGCTGTATTAAAAATAATTATTTTATACTTGTATCGGGATGCCTCGCTCTTAACCTAAACTTAGAAGCCACATTAGCATTTGTGTGTGTGCGTGTGCGTGTGCGTGCGCGTGCGTGTGCGTGTGCGTGTGCGTGTGCGTGTGCGTGTGCGTGTGCGTGTGTGTGCGTGTGCGTGTGCGTGTGTAATAATATACAGTGTTATTTAATATTAATGTAAAGGGTTCATTAATATAACATACATATTTACGACAAAATGATGTGGAAATTAAGCAACTTATGCATCGGCCCGACTGTTTAAGGCTAGATGCAGTTAAATGTAAAAAATTACTATCACAATAACTTTAAAAGAGATTGAGATAGATTTCAAAATTAAGCTATTAGTAATACCTACATATTTGAGCCGTTTGGGGTCGAAACGATGGGTCCGTGGGTCCTTTGAGCCCATCATCTTTATCAAGAATTTATATGAAGATTTTTAGTTCTTGATTTTTTTCAAATTGCTATCAGCTGATCATTAAAAAATCATAAATCAGCAATGATAACCCTTTTAATTGATGTTTAAAATGACTTAAGCATGGTTTGAGACGTGCTCTTCAAATAGGGATGATGACTGGGTAAAAAAAATGCAATTCTATTTAGTCCGTCAGTGAGATAATAGAAAAATATTAGATACGTATTTTCTTTTTACTTCAATTTAACAAGAAATAGCTTAGATAACAGGCATTAAAGTTGAGGAGTGGGGGCTCGCTACGTCACAGTTGAGTAGAAAACGTACCATAACGTGACGTCATGCGAAATTTCAACTCAATGTAACGCCGTAATTTTAAGATTACGAAAAAAATAAAAAAATGCGTGTTCAATATTTTTTAACACTCTACCCGACGGATAAACAAACAAAAATTAGTCATCATACCTATTCTCAATTCAGAAACCGTAAGCTTGGACACAACCCTATAATGAATACCTGTGACTCGCCTTCAGATAATTATCGGTCAACTTTCTACTCTGCATATCCATCACTTGCTGTTCCGGGGTGAGAGATACCACATCCATATTATACTTCTCTTCGTACATCTCGACTCTGAAGACATGCTTCTTCGGCTTCTCATGAACGAAGAATTCCACATCATCAACATCCTCTTCAGCATCGAGTAAAACATCGGGATCTTTTTGTTTTTTAACATCATTTAGACGCTCTGTGGATTCATCAGATAAGTAAGTCTATTGCTAGAGCAAAACATATCCAGGTTCAGGTTAAATTACCTTTATAATTATAAAACAATACACAAACTGTTTTTGTACTTTAAAACTTGTAATCAAAGGGGAATCCTCTTTTCTTTTTGCTTTTTAACATCATTTAGACGCTCTGTGGATTCATCAGATAAGTAAGACTATTGCTAGAGCAAAACATATCCAGGTTCAGGTTAAATTACCTTTATAATTATAAAACTCTACACAAACTGTTTTTGTACTTTAAAACTTGTAATCAAAGGGGAATCCTCTTTTCTTTTTGCTTTTTAACATCATTTAGACGCTCTGTGGATTCATCAGATAAGTAAGACTATTGCTAGAGCAAAACATATCCAGGTTCAGGTTAAATTACCTTTATAATTATAAAACACTACACAAACTGTTTTTGTACTTTAAAACTTGTAATCAAAGGGGAATCCTCTTTTCTTTTTGCTTTTTAACATCATTTAGACGCTCTGTGGATTCATCAGATAAGTAAGACTATTGCTAGAGCAAAACATATCCAGGTTCAGGTTAAATTACCTTTATAATTATAAAACTCTACACAAACTGTTTTTGTACTTTAAAACTTGTAATCAAAGGGGAATCCTCTTTTCTTTTTGCTTTTTAACATCATTTAGACGCTCTGTGGATTCATCAGATAAGTAAGACTATTGCTAGAGCAAAACATATCCAGGTTCAGGTTAAATTACCTTTATAATTATAAAACAATACACAAACTGTTTTTGTACTTTAAAACTTGTAATCAAAGGGGAATCCTCTTTAGATAATTATCAAATATGGTTTTTCTGATACAGAAAATTTTCTAGAAACAAATTAAAATATTAAAGGCCCCCTTTCTATTAGAAAAAAGAAATATACTTTCATTTCTATTCTATAAAAATATTTTATTTATACTTTTAATGTATAGCCAGCAATATTTCATATTAAGATGTCATATAACAGCATCTTAACCGACTGTTATGAGCTCAATATTATAATGAAGTAAAAAAATTCAAATCAAACAAAATTTGTATTGTAATGTTGCCAAATCAGTTTGCTACCGCTGGTGCACCTGAAGCGTTGTATTGTATATGTAATGTCTGCCTACCACTACCAGCCCTTTTACGTCCCCACTGCAGGGGCTCAGGCCTTCCTTATGGATGGTTAAGGAGGATGGGCCATGACCCCCCACGCTGGCCCAATGCGGATTGGCGGGTATTAACGTCCTGCAAATGCAGCCGGGACCGACGGCTTAACGTGCCTTCCGAAGCGCGAAGTAGCTCGAGATAAAAAATTTTTTTTTTGGTCACCCATCCCGTGACCGACCCTTGCGAAAGTTGCTTAACGACTACGATCGCGGGCCTCAGCGCTTATCCACTACGCCACCGAGCTACCGAGGTCTGCCTACCGCCATAGTACAATTTTTACCATTATATCTACAATTATTTTTATTTATTATTTTTGCTTTCCATTAATTTGTATTAAAATTTTAAAAAGGAATTAAGAACATCAGCTGAACATGCAAAAGAGAGACAGTTTAATTTGTAAACTGTTACACACCGAACTTGGATATGTATTACCTCTGAGGGTAATATATCACTTCAAAAACCAGGGGATTAATAGAACGGCTGGGTAAAAAAAAAAAGAAATTCTATTTAGTCCATCAGTCAGATAATTGACAAATATTAGATACGTATTTTTTTTTTACTTCAATGAGGAAGTATTTAAAAAAAAAAGAATACACTAAAAAAGCACCTACACTAGATGGCGACTCTAGCAAAAGTTGATTTTTGCAGGAAACTAATGGACCAAAGACAGCCATTTCCGTTCCTTTTAACTGACATATTAAGAAACTGAAATTTGAATAGTTCGAAACTTAGATATCAATACAAATACGAAAAAGTACAAATAGAATATGAGTTGTTTATTGAGTTTTGAAAACTAATTTACTTTTAAACATGAAAGAAAACCGGCGGGGTTGTCGTGGAGAAATCAAGAACGCACCGTGGCGACATCTAGTTAGATTTCTGGAACTAATGTTTTTTTTATATACTTCCTCATTCAACAAGAAATAGCTGAGATAAAAGGCATTAATTTTGAATGAAAGACTCTTTATTGTACACACCATAAGTAAATGTACAGTACATAATGATGTGACAGACAGTACAATTGGGGGCCTTATTGCTAAAAAGCAATTATTTCCAGGCAACCTTAATGTTGAGGAATGGGTGCTCGCTACGTCACAGTTTTGTAGAAAATGTACCAAAGCATGACGTCAAGAGACATTATTTAATTCAATTATTATGAAAGATAATATGTGTTTAATATTTTTCAAAATTATCTGACGGACAAACAGACAAAAATTAGTCGTCATCCCTATTGTCAAATTTTAAAGTCTATCGCAATTCGATTGGACATTTAAATGATATTCACGAACTTCACGCTACAACTAATTGGCATGTAATAGCAATTGCGAATGTGACATTATTCTAAAAGAATTTGTTAATTTGATTTTAATTGAGAATAGGTATGATGACTAATTTTTGTTTGTTTGTCCGTCAGGTAGAGTGTTAAAAAATATTGAACACGTATTTTTTTATTTTTTTCGTAATCATAAAATTACGGCGTTACATTGAGTTGAAATTTCGCATGACGTCACGTTAGAGTACGTTTTCTACTCAACTGTGACGTAGCGAGCCCCCACTCCTCAACTTTAATGCCTGTTATCTAAGCTATTTCTTGTTAAATTGAAGTAAAAAAAAATACGTATCTAATATTTTTCAATTATCTGACTGACGGACTAAATAGAATTTCATTTTTTTTTACCCAGTCATCATCCCTATTGTCTTAGGCAAACGAAGGATGTAAATAAATTTGAAAGCTATTGCGAAATATCAAACAAAATATTTGTATGATAAGGAACTACAATCTTTATCTTTGGATTTAACTAAGTTTTTATCATCATTCGTTCCAAATTGCGACTTAAAGTTAAATAATACCATAAACCACTGTCACAATCGCTACACCTTTAAATTGGATTGCGATAGACTTTAAAATAAGCCCCCAGAATGTATGAACTAACCGGCTTCATCGATTATACTCTTCGATTGATCTTTAACTTCATTGTCTGGCTCCTTTTCAATTAAAACATCCCTCTTCTCACATTTCATACACCCCTTTTCCCTTATCTTTTCGTTTTCAACATCAGCTTTGTTTTCCTCGACAAATTCATCAGTGCACATGTACAGAGGCTCTGATATAGACAAATTCATATCTAGACTGTAATAAGGCCTCTCTATTGATGTGACATACTCCATTTTCAACTAAAACAAATAATAAAGACGTACAACACTCCTCAGAGTTGTATTCAGAATGAGGAAGTATTCAGAAAGCATTAAAAAAAGCACCTCCACTAGATGGCGACTCTAGCAAAAGTTGATTTTTGCAGGAAACGAATGGACCAAAGACAGTCATTTCCGTTCCTTTTAACTAACACATTAAAAAACTGAAATTTACAAAGTTCGAAACTTAGATATCAATACAAATACGAAAAAGTACGAATATAATATGAGTTGTTTATTGAGTTTTAAAAACTAATTTACTTTTATACATGAAAAAAAGCCCGGATGAGTTGTCATGGACAAATCAAGAACGCACCGTGGCGACATCTAGTTAGATTTCGGGAACTAATTTTTTTTTTTCAAATACACCTGTGTGCACATTATTTCGACTGTTTGGCCTTAGTTTCGCTAGTGTATTTATTTATTTACTAGCTGACCCGACAGACTTCGTCCTGTCAAAAAGATTTGTAATGTGGCAGTTTTTTTGCCTACGTATTTAAAAAAATTCTCCTGAACAGAACCGACACCCAGGTGATAGGGCGTTGTGAATAAAAAATAATTAAATAAAACATATATAAGGATTTAAAAGTAAGTAATCGCTTTATTGTTAATCATGTGAATCATAATTATTATTGCAATGTATTAATAGTAATAGTATTAAATATAGAAAAAAGAGATTTTTATGATCATAAAAACACATTACACACAACAGCATTATAAAAGTAAACTATTCGAATTAAAAAAATATATAAACATTCTCAAGGAAAAATGCTGGAAGAATCCATCTACCTGTACCCCGGAATGGGACTCGAACCCATTCGCGATCCAGGGACTGCTCTAACCAATGAGCCATCTAGGACCCAACAGCTTTGCTACTACAGAGCGTATTTTCATCAATGTTCCGGCAATACATGTAATGACGTGGAAACTGATGCATTTTATCTCGCGTGCCGAAACTAATACAAAAGAAACGCGAGTTTCGGAACGCGACATTAAACTCCTCCAACTATGTATTCTGTGCTCCAACGCACACACGCACATTGTTTTGTGATAGATATGATCTTTGACGTTAGGAACACACCTACATTGCTTAGACAACAGTGAGTGCTTGTAATTTAATATGAACTTTATACCATAGCAATAAAGCTCAAATTGACTACGTTTTAGTTACAAATCATTTGTATGGGAAAAAGAAAAGGGCTATTTTTAGGGTTTTTCCAGCAATAATTCTAATTTTTCTCGCCGTAAAAACCATCCTTGAACTTCAACGAACATTTTAAAAAAAGATTTGGCCAAATTGGTCGAGGCGTTGTTGAGTTATGCGCTTACCAACACATTTTGCGATTCATTTTTATATATATAGATTTGAGTAACCAACAAGGTCAAACACTGTACATGCAAATAAATTAAAAATAAATAACTAAGACAACGTGCTGCCTTAATTAAAGGTTACCATGGTAACCATCCGACATACATATGAAAATGTAACCTGGAAGCGCGTGGCCCCAACAATAAACAAGCTTAAGTATAATTACAGCATAACATACTTTTTTAAATTTAAAGTAAAGAAACTTAATAGGTTAATTCTAATAATTACTATAATATATTGTCATTGACATCAAGCTACACATTTAATTAAATATTTATTATTATTTTATTATCAGTGGTCGGAATTATGTAGAGTTATTCATGTACTTACACTGATTTCATACAGCGAAAGAATAAAGTGAATATGCCTCAAATTCCGAGATTAATTTTAATTTTTTTTTTTATAAGTCTAGGCTAGAAGCAATAGTATTCGCTTGTATTTATAAAAAAGGCGAAATATGCGTATGAAAATTTGCTTAAGACTATTTATTTATTTAATCTTGATTGCCTAGTGAAATAGACAAATGGCGGACTTAATGCCAAAGAGGCATTCTCTACCAGTCAACCAGTAAATTTAGTACAATACTTAAAGTGGCGATTGGCGACAATACGCTATTGATATCTAAATATACATAAAATACATACAATGATAAACATACATACACATACATAAATAAATGCATATATATAGCTATAACACAAAGTATGTAAAAGGTGTCAGATCAAGAAATCTTGTTTGAAGCATAATAGAAGTTGCGAGCTACTGTCTTGACTGCAAATTTGTTAGGAGCACTCCGGACGTTCAAAGGCAATGCATTCCAAAGACGGATGGTTAGAGTGAATGAATGAGATACAAAACAAGAATGATGAGAAGGGGTTTGGAGTACCAGTCTACTACTAGAACGAAGATTTTTCAGGTGAGAGGCACCGAGGATTTCAAACAGCGATTTCAAATACTCAGGTGCTCGTGGATCGAAAAGTATCTGGAAAAGTGTGCAAACAATCCTTAAGCACCTACGCTCCCGAATAGGAAGCCACTCAAGATGTTGACGAAAATTGGAGATGTGGTCATATTTGCGCAGACCGAAAACAAAACGAATAGTATTGTTCAGAAGACGATCCAATCTATTAAGAAAGGTTTGACTGATATCAGAAGTACAAACATCAGCATAGTCGAAAAGGGGATGTACAAGAGCTTGGACGAGAGCAGACTTAGTACGGGGAGGGAGAAAGTTCTTAAGTCGATAAAGCGAGCCGAGGTTGCGATGGATTTTACTGCAGACGTTGTCCATCTGATCATCCCAGTGCAAAGTACTGTCAAGAACAAGCCCAAGATTTTTTACCTTAGCAGCATAAGGGATCACCGAGCCAGCATAGGTAACAGCTGGAATTGTATCGAGGTTAGTTTGCGATATTTGTCGGGAGCTACCGATAATAATGGCCTGACATTTGTTGGGATTGACAGAAATACCGAAGTTATTTGACCATTCAAATATCCGCGCAAGATTTTGGTTCAGTGTACATATGGCTCTATTAAGGTTGTGAATGTCATCCTGAGCATATATCTGCAGGTCATCGGCGTACAGGTGATAAGAGGTTGTAATAACAGAGGTGAGGGAGTTAATAAAAATTGAAAAGAGAAGAGGAGAGAGCCGCCTTGAGGGACACCAGCAAACAAGTTACACCAGTTAGAAACTGAATTACCCACTCGTACTGCCTGCTGGCGTCCATGAAGATAAGAGGAGAACCATGCGAGCACGGATGAAGAACAGCCAAGCTGAAAAAGAAGAGCAGGGAGGATATCGTAATCAACTGTGTTAAAAGCGCTAGAAAAATCAAGTTAAACTAACACAGTTAAACGAGAGTTCTCCATACCGTCACGAATGTCGTCAACGATTTTAAAAAGGGCAGTGGAAGTGCTATGACCCGGGCGGAATCCTGATTGGAAAGGGGAAATTTGTATTTTAAATTAATGTAAACTAATAAAAATTTTATGTTAATTATCTTTGTTTTATTTGTCTATCCCTGACGTTGTTATTATTATTTAGTTGTAAGATTGTTGGCCACACGGGATTGTCCATTAGAAATCCCGTGAAGGTCCACATTAATATCAACGTTTCGATGCAAGTACATAAACAACTCTACCTAATTCCGACCTCTGGTTACCATACCACTCCGGGCCTTTGGTTTTTTTTTTAATTTCCCCAATCGCTACTGTACAGTCCACACTCACCATGTCGACACTCCTCAGCTTCTGCACGAGCGCGTCCGCTCGTCTACATCTCTCCCTGAACTCTATACACTTCATCAACAGCGTTGCGCAACACGCGCATATGTACTGACGACCATTATCAGTCTCGGACTTCTGATGACAAACGTATAATCAAATCAAATCAAAATTTATTTATTCAGTTTAGGCTTTTACAGAGCACTTGTGAACGTCGAAAACTACGCCATCGGTTCGCAAAACTACGGCGGGAGACCTTGTACTGAGAAGAACCGGCAAGAAACTCAGCAAGGGCTGCTTTTTTTCACACAGAGAAGTCTTATTGAAAAGTGACTTCATTAGAATATGAAGTCACTTTCCATTCACTAGCTTAGGCTTAGATATTAATTTAATAATAGGATATTCTATTCTGTTTGAAATATAACTGTTTATTTTAATTAAAAAGAAAACCGTAAAACAAATCTTTCGAAAAAATAAACACATTTTAAAATTAAATCAAACAACGCAGTCCGCCATATTCGTGACGTCATTGTGGTATGTACACAAAACCTTAACTCCATGCACAAAACAGATGCACAGACTAGAAGATTAAAAGATGTCAATAAAACAAAACAATGCCATCTAACGATCGATTTCGAAATAAAAAGATATAAATGAGCTAAGAACAGCTACATCTAGGAATTCGATTTACAATTAATAGGCATATCTTTACGACTTATCTAACAGCTGTCACCACAGTGACGTCACACGATGGCGGATCGTGTGTCACGTGACACAAGAACAAAAAATCTCAACTTTTAATTTTAAGATACTCGTCCGATTTTAAGACTCAAAATCAGAATCTCTATGTTTATTTCGGTGTAAAATTTTAGTTTTTATGAAATTTCATGACTTATTTTTACTACTGAAACTACCCTATTAATTTGGATAAGGTTTCATATCACGACGTAGATATAATTGCAATGACAAATTGAATAGTGAACAGTGGTTACTGTGGTAACGTTTTAATTCCCTATACAAACTTCCGTTTTCATCAATCAATTCGCCGTTTTTCGGGATAAAATATAGCCTACGATTATATCCACCGCATCTTGTAGGTGTCAGTCCAGCAGTTTTGGTGCCAATAAGGATGATGACTGAGTTTAAAAAATGCAATTCTATTTAATCCGTCAGTCAGATAATAGAAAAATATTAGATACGTATTTTTTTTTTACTTCAATTTAACAAGAAATAGTATAGATAACAGGCATTAAAGTTGAGGAGTGGGGGCTCGCTACGTCACAGTTGAGTAGAAAACGTACCATAACGTGACGTCATGCGAAAATTCAACTCAATGTAACGCCGTAATTTTATGATTACGAAAAAAATAAAAAAATACGTGTTTAATATTTTTTAACACTCTACCTGACGGACAAACAAACAAAAATAAGTCATCATCCCTATTCGTTGTAAACAAACAAACGATACCTACGTCTATCATCATCAGCCCTTTTACGTCCCAACTGCAGGGGCTCAGGCCTTCCATATGGATGGTTAAGGAGGATGGGCCATGACCCTCCACGCTGACCCAATGCGGATTGGAGGGTAACGTCTATCAATGTAGCTGGAAACATGACTCACCTCATATCCGAGGATTTCTTCCAAGGCGATCTTCAAATTGATCTTATTTAAATCATACAACGTCTTCACTTGTGTAGTTAAGCAACAGCAGCAAAACAACTCTAGAAGAAGAGAGATTTATAACTATATAATATCATATTTATGCTTCACTTAGCAATTCGCGCAAGAGCCGAAGCCTAATTGCCTAATTTTTAAATCGTTCGCGACCTATTTCAATCAGAAAGACAAACAACAGACAGGGAAAACTAAATAAAAGCCTACACATATCTAGCTTTCTGGCGGCGGCTTCACCCGATTCCCAAGGAACTGTTTAGTAGAATTTCATTTGGATAAGGTGTTATAATTACATTGACAAATTGAATAGTAAACAATGGTTACCATGGTAACGTTTCGATTCCCTATTCAAACTTCCATTCTCATTTTTGTCTCAATATTTTCTGTTTTTCGGGACAAAGTATATAATATGTCAGCCGGTAACGCTTCCCGTAGGTGAAAGAGTGTTACAATTGGTCCAGTAGTTTTGGAAGGTATTCTATACAAACAAATAAACAATCAAATATTTCTTCCGGTTATAATTACATTGACAAATTGACTAGTAAACAATGGTTACCATGGTAACATTTCAATTTCCTGTTTAAACTTCCACTCCCATTTTCATACCATTATTTTCTGTTTTTCGGGATAAAATATAACCTATGTAGCTTTCCCTAGGTGAATGAGTTTTAATATCGGTCCATTAGTTTTGGAACCTGTTCTATACAAACAAATAAACAATCAAATATTTCTTCCTTACAATATTAGCATAGACCCAGTTGCATAAACTGCCATTAAAATTATCATTTGTTTAAAGCGACATTACCGTTATATATTTTCAGCTTAATGTCATCATTCATTAGGACGATTTAAACGACAACTACCTTCCTACCTTAATCACTTACACAATAAATGTATTGCACTCTACTGTTAGACAAAAAATATCGAACCATGGGCATCACTATTTATCGATTGTATTACGGGAATCACTATCTGTCAGTGAGCTGTCACTGTCAATTTGACAATGACATAAGATGGGATGCGCGCCAATATACAGCTCAGGTAAATTATTGTTACGAGTGTTGGAATCAGTTTAAAATAGAAGAAAAACCTAATAGACAAAGAATGAAAAAAAAAATAGTACAAACCAAAGTTTTCTTTCTCTGTAATGTCTTCTTCCACGTCTTCACAATGCCATGAGTAGTCCACATCGTGATTTGTAATTGGGGCTAGAGCTTTAAAACAAATAATTAATGCAAGAAGCAATGTAAACTATAGACAAGACACATCATACTCTTTTTTAAAGTAGAAAACAGTTTCAATTTTTCGTTACCCTATTTTAGCCATAGGTAACGCCGTTTGCCTACTATTGTCTATCACATTCGAATGCGAAATCTTGTCAGTTGTATGGCAATATTTCGCATGTCCCTTGTCTCGCTCGTCGTTACACAGACGTATGTACATGTTTCTCATTCAGGGTTGCCACCCGTCCCGATTTTACGTCGTAAAAGGCGGCAACATTTACAATAATTTCGCAGATGTTTAGCATTCGTATGCGATTGTGTTGGTATACTAACGCCATTAATAATCAATCGCCTGGCAACTTGGCAGTACATTACTATTAGTATGAATTAACATGACCATGACTTATTCTTTTTCTCCGAAAAAGAAATTTCGTCTATTTTGAAATGCTCATACGATTTGAAAGAAACGCATTTTTCGATAATTCATGATGAAACGGAGGTAGTAGCTGACACTGCCTCTAATGCAGATAATCTACACGACTTTAATTATGTCAAAATTATAAGAACGATACCAAATTTTTGTTCGAAAACAAATAGGCCATTTTCTGCCAGACCAGAGTTCGAGATATCTCTATTGTTAGATAATGTACTGAATGAATGTAGGCAATACCTTTCAATTTGACATTTGAAAAATATTCACTAACTTCACGTTACAACTATTGTAATATATGATAGCAATCGAAATTTTTTCTTTGAAACATAATATTGTAATTATCAAACGCAAGCGTTAGACGCAAATATCTTTGAAAACTAATGAAAAATGTCAAACGAAATACTGATGAATCTGCAATATTTAAACAGGTTTAGATAACTTTTTATTCAAATCATACGTATCCTAAAGAGATTGCAGCTTTCAAAGTTATATAATTCAATATATTATAGATAAATCGCTATCACATTCTCCAAAGCTTTGGAAGATTTTAAAATTATCTAATTAGTGTAATACCTTCAGGTGTTGATGACTGCAATGTATCCAAATGCTTTTGCGTAACTTTCGGTACACATAAATTTTTATGTATATCTTTCGTAACATCTGAAATTAATTTGTAAAAAAAAATATTTATTGTTATTAAATTATAATAAATAAAACTAACCAACAGATATATAAATAGCTAATGGTATAAGTAAATTATACCGATATTGAAAATAGCTACATTAAAAAAAATCCATATGAGTAGATTTTTTTTGTAATGTAAAAAAAAATCTCATCAGACGAGCAAACGGATCACCTGATGGTAAGTGATTACCGTCGCCCATGGACACCTGCAACACCAGAGGGGCTACAAGCGCGCTGCCGGCCTTGGAGGGAGGGGTTGAGGGGTAAAGGGAAGGGAATAGGGAGGGTTTGGGCCTTCCGTACCCTCACTCACACGACGAAACACAACGCAAGCTTCACGTCGGTTTTCTGTGAGGCTGTGGTATCACTCCGGTCGAGCCGGCCCATTCATGCCAAAGCGTGCCTCTCCCACGGTCAAAAAAGTAAAGTGCAATCTGTGTGGGTAATCTTTGTACACATACAAGTGTGGCATATCCGTTTAATAATTTTTGTCGGCCATTCTTGGCAACGTTATTTATGACATCTGTATAATTGTAAGGCCTCATTCAACATTAAGGAGTCTGAAACTCATACCTGTGAACATGCTTATTCATTTTACCGACCCTTCGTATACATAGAGTCAGAAAGTGAACTTAACAATTTCTATAAATTAATAACCCAAAATATTGTAAAGCAGTGACACCATACAAAATAGGTTAAACAAGGATTATAAACTTTCAGTGCGTGACAATAGATACAGCCAACTACAAATACAGTTATCTCATCAAAACTATTTATGTGATATTATGGTTTTGTTAATTATTTTTCTGAAATTTCTTGTACATTATTCGAGATTTATATTCAACTTTTTTGCACACTGCACTTTGGATGTGTCATGAACTAAGTGTGTACGAACTATATGTAGAAGAAATAAATACCCATAGCTACAAACCTGGCATATTCAGTATTGGCAATGCGATATTACTGATTCTGTTATTCCGGCAACAATGCTTTACAATGAAGTGTGAACGGCACACACGACGGTATTTATATATGTATTTATCTTCTAAGCCCAACAAAATGGGACCGATAGCATACACCCATGTTTTGAAACGTTCCATATCTTTGTCTGGGTTAGGGAACCGGTGGAGCACCTTATGCATGGCTGAAATAGAAAACACATGGCCGCAAACTGGATGCCTAGGTGCGGTACACGTTTTAAGCTTGCCATTGAACCCTGACCCTCAGATCTCATGTCTCCCTACTTTTTGGGTAGTGAATGCTTATTATAAAACTTGTTTTATTACTCATCACCTGGTTACACACTTACAAGTTAGTACCTATAAACCCATCAACAACTCTTTTTTTAAAGCATTACAAATGGTAACCCATATCAATGAGAATTTTGTTTCACCAAGCTTATTTTTATTTTAAAGATTATTATAAAACTGAATATTGTGAAAAAAGGTTGCTTATAATAGATTAAATAAATAAAAAATGGCTTAACATGCCTTTCGAAGCATGGAAGCGCTTGAGATGAGAAATTTGGTCAACAATTCTATGACCTAACTATGAGACAGTTGCTTAACTTCTGCATTACTAATCTATGCTACTAACTACTGCGAATTTAAGCTTTTAATACGATCAAGTTCGCTGTACGGAGCGGACAGATCCGGTCGTCCATTAGCACTATTGTGGAGCTGTCTTCGAATCGCGACTGCCACTATAAATGTTTATTGAATCAAAATTAAGACGTACCTCCACTTTCTTTGCATCCAGGAACGCAACAGTGTTTGATTACCATAATTTCTATATGAAAATGAAATGAAATACAGTCAAAAATGTGGAAAGAAATTCCAGATATCTTATACACTACACATCGCAAGTAATGGCTCGCTTTGTTTTAGCGATGGGCGAAAAGTATTTCACTTTCACAGTTGAACTTGTATTTTTTAGGAGAATCTGGGAGAAACCAAAAAAAAATGATATTTTTTTTTATCGCAGAAACAACAACAAACAAAGTCGCCTCAAATTTGACACATGTCATCGTTTTAGTAGAATTATAATTCGTCCTTGGGACAGGCGAAGGAACTAAGCCATAAAGCCAAATCTTGGGTTCATCGTTTTTAGTCTAAGAGCCCGCGACGCCCAGACCTTCGTTATATTATAAAAGCTGAAAATTCTTCTATACATGTCTCCTATACAGGTATAAGCAAACCCAGCCTATACAACCTGGGTCGCGGTGGCTTTGGCAGGTAACAGGTAGTAAAGGTGAGTAAAATTATGTTTCAAATTTGTGATAGTATAAAACTTAGTTTTCATATATTTTAACTTACAATCATATTAGAAACCGCCTCGTCTATTGGCGGATACTTCGGGCGGTAACAACCCCTTTCCAGACACCCTTACAGTATGATTATTTATAAATCTACTTTCGTCATAGTATAAAATCTGACTTTTATATATGTTATTCAGAAAACTATACGAATAATGTTTCCACAACCCCCAGTCACTTTCGATGGTTCCCATATCGTCCCAGGCACATTGAAGTCTACTCCAGGCGTGCGCGTGATGAATATACATGTACGTTGGTGCGAGTGAAATAGCCCAATCTATACTCTAAATTTATCAAGATAATTAATATACGCCCTCTTTGAGCGGAGTAAGCAGATTTGAAGTATAGAAATCATAGACAATATATGTAGACTATATAGTCGAAAATGAATATAGAGTTTGTCTCACGAAAGAAGTCCTCGGATCACAATGTTTCGCTTTTATTAGTTAGAAAGCGGGACTTTTTTGTGAGGCGGACTAAGGCCTTCCTATGGCAACTAGACACTGACTAAATCATATTAGGGCCGGATCACAATGTTTCCCTTTTATTAGTTAGAATGCGGGACTTTTTTGTGAGGCGGACTAAGGCCTTCCTATGGCAACTAGACACTGATTAAATCATATTAGGGCCATAACGAAGAAATTAAAATGACCATAGAACGCTCAGTCTTAGTTGAATATAAAGCTATAAGGATAAAGATTATCGAACCACATTCTGTACGACTACGAAGCGTTAACTGTCAAACTGGTTCAATCCAAAGTTTATCTTTCAAATAATGGAGGGACAAAAAAATATTTTTGGTCATCCATCCAATGAGTGGTCTATGCGAAAGTTATTGAATAATACCACTCATACATACCATGATATATTATTTAATTGGTTTTGTGTCAAAGCTATGACAATCATGTCGCTATCTTCTTCTTCTTCGTCACCAAAAGAGCTCTCTGACCACAGAAATCTTTTACCTAGCTTTATGTTTGCGACTCGCGCACAGAGGTTATATATAAATATCTAATGGTATAAATAAATAATGAGAAGCTGAGCTGAGAAACTGGGTAAGAGAACACTGTTACCAACAACATGACTCAACTGGACTCAAACGACTGAGTGCAGGCAAACCAAAGAAGCAATCCCCAAGGTAGACCTGTAACTGGCACGTAAGTTAAACAAACTACCTAGAAAACGTCAAGGCTAATAGTAGGTATACTAACCGGTCATGGCTATTTTAACATGCACTTATGTGCAGGGCATGCCTGGATGATGAAGAGACAAGCGCTCACATACTACTGGAATGCAGGGGCGTTTCAAGACAGGTCTAAACATCTGGGTAGACCATGGACATTAAAAGAGGCATGCGGCAAAGTTAAAGGAAGGGGCTTCCTGGAGGAGCTGGGGTGGCAGGACAGATGCAACCCTATTATTCACGTGAAATAGACACAAGGTGTCGAGTTGCGGAAAAGCCCGCCGTATAACATAACATAGTAAAATCAACTCATAATAGCTATTTATATATAACGCGGCGGCACATGTTGATAATCCTTATACATATACAAGTGTGGCACATCTGTTTTAATCTTTGTCGGCCATTCTGTGGCGATGTTATCTATGACATTTGTAATAATTTGTAAGTCGCCATTCAATATGAACGAGTCTGAAAGTAAACTCATACCTGTGAACACGCTTATTCATTTTACCGAACTTCATAAACATACGCCCGGTTTCTGAATTGAGAATTTGAAGTTGAGCACGTCTTAAACCGTGCTTAAGCCACTTTAAATGTCATTAAAACATGTTTTCATTGCTGATTTATAAATTTTTAATTATCAGTTGATAGCAATTTGGTAAATCTAATACTTTTTGCAATATGAAACGTAAAAAAACTTAATTTATTAAGAATAAACAGTTGAGATTTTGTACTTTCTCAATTCAGAAACCGGCCGATAGAGTCAGATAGTAAACTTAACAATTTCAATAAATAAATAACCCAAAATATTGTAAAGTGGTGACACCATACGAATTAAGGTAAATAAGGATTATCGACTTTATGTGCTTGACAAGAGATACAGCCAACTACAAATACAGTTATCTCAACAAATTATTTATATGATATTTTGGGTTTGTTAATTGTTATCGGATTTTCTTAAATTACTTGTACGTTATTCAAAATTAACTTTTTTGCACACTGCACTTTGCATGTGTTATGAACTAAGTGTGTCCGAATTATATGTAGAAAAAACAAATAGTCATAGCTACAAACCTGGCATATTCAATATCGGCACTGCAATATTACTGATTCTGTTATTCCGGCAACAATGCTTTACAGTGAAGTGCGAATGGCACACACGACGGTATTTATATATGTATTTATCTTCTAAGCCCAACAAAACGGGACCGATAGCATACACCCATGTTTTGAAACGTTCCATATCTTTGTCTGGGTTAGGGAACCCGTGGAGCACCTTATGCATGGCTGAAATAGAAAACACATGAAATAGAATAACACAACACATGAAATAGAAAACTGGACTCTTAGGCCCGCGACTACCTACCGCTAGCAGTGTAACTTGATATAAATGATTAAGGTATCTCACCTGTAGGAAATTACCATGTTTTAAACCAATTTTTTTTTTTTAATTTTTGCTGTAGATTTCTCCAGTGCACTATCAGGACAATGGTTGACCAAGACCTGGCTATTGCGAACAGTTAACTAGGGCCATACAAATAGTACCTATGTTATATACGGACTGACGTTTCAAGCTTGCCATTGAACCCTAACCCTCAGATCTCATGTCTCCCTACTTTTTGGGTAGTGAATGCTTATTATAAAAACTTATTATAAAGCTTGTTTTATTACTCATCACCTGTTAACACACAAGTTAGTACCTATTAACCCAACAATAACAATTACTCTCTTTTTTTAAAGCATTACAAATGGTCCCGTAACCCTTAGTTATGAGAATTATTTTTCACCAAGCTTATTTTTATTTTGAAGATAGAAAACAAAATATTGTAAAAATTGGTTGTCCAAAAGTTCAAACATTGCTAATAATTAATTATTATTATGAATTAATAAATGATAAATGGCTTAAGAGACCATGAGACAGGTGCTTAACTTCTGCATCACTAATTGAATATGCTAACTACTACACCATTGAGCTTTTAATACACATTGTTTATGTATGTATAAATATAGTTCACAGTAGTGGTGTGGGTAGAGGATAAGCGTCGCGGCCCGCGATCGTAGTCGTTAAGCAACTTTCGCAAGGGTCGGTCACGGGATGGGTGATCAAAATATTATTATCTCAAGCTACTCCGTGCTTCAGAACGCACGCTAAGCCGTTGGTCCTGGCTACATTAGCAGTCATTAATACCCTCCAATCCGCATTGGGCCAGCGTGGAGGGTCATGGCCCATCATCCTTAACCATCCATAAGGAAGGCCTGAGCCCCTGCAGTAGGGATGTAAAAGGGCTGGTGTTCACAGATCAACTCCATAAAATCGACCGTACAAGCAATAACGACAATAATGTCCGGCAAGCGGTTGATCTAGTTCAATGTACAGAGCAGACAGATCCGGTTGTCTATTAGAACTATTGTAGAACTGTCTTCAAATCGCCACTGCCACTATTTTTTAGGTTTAAGACATTTACTTCTCAAAAAGGATTACATATATTCACTTACATGAGAAATACAAACATATCCATAATGTTCTGCTGGTAATAAAAAATAAAAATAGGCACGCACACAGTCATATCGAAAATCGCTTATAATAAATTATAATCACTTCATTGCCAAAAACACTATGTTTATTGAATTTCAATTAAGACGTACCTCCACTTTCTTTGCATCCAGGAACACAACAGTATATGATTGGCATAATTTTTATATTAAAATCGATAAACAGTCAAAAATATAGAAAGAAATTCCAGATATGTTATACACTACACAATGGCTCGCTTGTTTTAGCGATAGACGAAAAGTATTTCACTTTCTCAGTTGCATTTGTATTTTATAAGAAGAAACCAAAGTTTAATTCGACGAAAAAAACAGTATATTTTAATTTTTTTTTTTTTTTTTTTTTTCAGTATGGACTTGTTCCGTTATACACGGAAATTTTGCCAACATCCCGTAGTGAGAGAGACACGTGATTTAAGAGACTGAACGATAGTTATAATTAAATATGTACGGTATTAATCAATTCTTCCTTGAGATTGTTCTTTCTCTACTAAAAAAAAAAAAACAACTACAATAATTTAAATACATAAAAGGACAACGCAAAAGCAAATAAAACTATAACTACAATATTTAAATACATAAAAGATAAATTTGTAACACTTACTTTTATAATTTGATATCATATTTTAATTTTATCGCAGAAACAACAACAAAGAAAAACAACAAACCTCAAATTTGACATATGTCATCGTATGTAGTCTAGATTCCGGTCTCGATTCAATTTAACAAATATCAATCTATTTGAACTCGATTTTCGATTTCCACCATGATTGCTAGATCCCGTAACGAACAGATCGAAAATCAATCTTTACTATTGGAATCATTTGCGAAATCTTGTAAGTTGTATGTATGACAATGTTCACGTGTGTTTGGCCTCGCTGTATTATTAGCTTGACTGCGTACTTGTCAGTACGGTTTCGCATTCGACTGCGAAAAATGTCGTTACACGGACGCACACGTTTCGCATTCGTGGTTGTTATTGGACCGATTTCTGATGACTATCCGAATACCTCTAATTTAGTTTTTCAAAAGGTGACAACCCAATTGCATTAGCATAGTTGCGCATATGTTTTTGCATTCGCATGCAATGACGAAGTATTTAAAAAACAATAGTTCCCGAAATCCAACTAGATGTCGCTATGGTAATTTCTTGAACTCTTCCGGTTTACTTTCATGTATAAACATAAATTAATTTTCAAAACTCAATAAAGAATTCGTTTTTTTTTTGTACTTTTTCGTATCTGTATTAATATCCAAGTTTGGAAATTTGCAAAATTCAGTTTTTTATCTGTAAGTTAAAAGGAACGGAAATGACTATCTTTGGTCCATTCATTTCCTGCAAAAATCTACTTTTGCTAGAGCCGCCATCTAGTGAGATGCTTTTTTGTGCTTTCTTTTTTTTTAATATTTCCTCATTGCGGCGGTGTACTAACGGCATTACCTACTTGTTCAGATGCAAGTCGACTAACCTTAACCTGTCACGTGGGCCCAATGTATTATTAAGCATACGGACCAGACCACAGACTAACGCCATAGAAGTGTTTTTTAGCTTTATAAATTCTTTATTTCTCATTTGTTTTCTTGTACTTTTACAACGCCTTCTGTGAGCGGAAAAAGCAAATTTGAAGTATTGAAATCGTAGGCAATTTAAGTAGACTAAAATGAATATAGATTCTCACAAAACAAGTCCTTCGCTTTTATTACAAAGGATTAAGAGTTATAACGCGACTTCTTTTGTGTGATAGACTTTAGGGCTTTCCTAGGGCAACTAGCCACTATCAACGCCAAGAAATTAAAATGACCACCGAACGCTAAAAAGTCTTGGTTAAATGTATAGCTATAAGAATAAAGACTTTCGAAACACATTCTGTACGACTATGAATAGTTAACTGCCAATGTAACTGGTCCAATGAAGGGGCTTATCTTTCAAATAACGGAGGAACTAAGGATTACTTTGTGGTCATCCATCTGATGAGTGGTCTATGCAAAAGTTATTGAATAATACCACTCATAAATACAATGTTATACTAATTAATTACTTTTGAGTCAAATTTATAACCAGTGGTCGGAATTAGGTAGAGTTATTCATGTACTTACACTGATTTCATATAGCGAAAGAATAAAGTGGACATGCCTCAAATCCTTAGATTAATTTTAAAGACCTGAAAACATCCCGTGATTTTTTAAATAAAAAGTTATTTACTTTTATACAATTTAAACTACTGCACGCACGACGTTGCCAAACTTATATCAATGAAAGAAAGAAATAAAGAAATCCCGGGAAGGTCCACATTAATATCAACATTTCGATGCAAGTACATAAATAACTCTACCTAATTCCGACCTCTGCACATAACATCAACGCAACAAAAGGTTCTTAGCGTCTGCAATAACATCGAACTTTACTATCATTAAAATAATGAAACGAAAATGCCAGTCTTTTTTTTACTTGACATGTATCTATTATTAGATCGCAATAAATAAACACGACATAATTTCAATCAATTTATTTATGAGTAAAAATAAAATCACTAATAAATATTATCTTTCTAAAATTACTATATTTTATTTATAAATTAATACAATTTATAATGGGGTTATTATCATTAAATTTTAAAACTGTCATACAAGACATGACAATCATATATAGTGTCACAGCACTATCACGCTCATATAACATCGCCGTCACATCGCCAGTTGTGACGTCACATTTCATAGTCTGCTAAGGACAATTGGCCACGTGGAATACACAACAGCACAAAATCTTGATTGCCATGCACGCTCGTAGAAATATAATATGTAAGTTATGTATTTTTCATTTATTATATTTTTCAATATAGCAATTGTGAATCAAATATAATATAATAAAATATTGTCTTGTTGGAATAACTTAAACAATCACTCGTGAAAATCACTATATTTTGTCAATCACATTGGTCACAATAATAAAGAACGTATATACAGTTTCATATAACACGACATGCTGTAAAAATAATTACTGGATAAACTATCGATATAAAAACATCGATGTCACATCACAACTCTATTTTTAAATAAAAAACCGCCGTTGAAATCCTATGTAGCTATCGGTTTCTCAGTATGTCTACTCCTGTACGGAGCGGGCATCTTCAGGTGTACTGTCCTCACGTGTAACTTCATGGAGTTAGACTGGGAGAAACACTTGCCGCAATGCGAGCAAGCGTAGGGCTTCGCCCCAGTGTGTACCTGTATCAAAAAACAGAGGAACTAACTCTTTGGCAGTTTGTTTTTGGTAGAGATACAGCGGCCTAGTAAGGCTGTAGACGATATTAAAAAAATATTTTTATTTTACAGATATACCTACATAAATTTTTCTTAAAAAAAATAACCGCGATAACGCTAACTTCTGTCATGGCGTCGCTATGACGTCACGGCACTCTGAAACTTATATCGTTCTATGTATGCATAAGGTTGGATGCGGATCAGAGGGTATAAACGACTGCATGTACAGCCGTTAACGCGCCTTCCGAAGCACGGAGTAGCTCGACATATTATATTTCGGTCACCCATCCCGTGACTGACCATAGCGAAAGTTGCTTAACATCAACGATCGCGGGGCGCGGATCTTTTCCCCTACGCCACTAAGTCACTCTGGTAGATATACAGATTTTACTTATATTATGAACTTTTACTAATTATTTTGACAGCATCAGTAAACGAGCGGTTTCAAGGTGTTGCCATCTCTGATGCCCCGGGTTCGATCGTCGGTCCGATCAATGTAGAAAATTAGCTTTTCCGTTTTGTCTCAGGTCTGGGTGTTGCGGTACCGCCGTTGTCTCAAATACTCCATAACACGGGACTTTAGCTACTCATCTTGGAATCAGATCAATGTTTCTAATGTAGTTTAATACCACTTCTACGTATCCAACTAATTTAATATGTAAATCAAGATTCCCGTTATTTAATTTACAATAACTTATATTATATATTAACTAAGCTCACTTTTAAATGAATAGGGGATCGGAAGAAATATCAAAAAAAAAACTATTGAAAATTAATTAATACGTCGTTTATTTCCAACAAAAATATTATTTTATGTCGATAAGCCTTATTATGTACCCCAAAACTATCATTGTAAATACCGCGTGCGACGTGACGTCATTTGTGAGTTAAAATGTTACGCACGGGGCGAGGAGCGCGGGAGGGGGAGCGCGGGAGGAGGACCGACAGCGGCCGACGGTGACGCATCCTTCGGGTGGTCTCGGAAATCGTCGTGTTTCGTCGCGCTGCCATTTAAAATCAGCTGTTAGGACGGACAGCTACTTCACTTTTACTTTTTAACTCAATTGAACACATTCTTGAAGCATGTAAACGAAATTTAAGAAAATAAATAATTTATCAGCAAAGGGATTCATTTATTTCTAGTCATATACAAAAGGTGATTTTTCATTAAAAAAATTGAGTTTATTGAATAATTTTATATTTAAACTCACAAATGAATGAAACTCAATAAGTCACAAGACTTGTAAAAGTCCAGTAAATTATTGGAATAGTTTTGCACTTTCAATATTAACCGCCGCTTTTGTTAGATATTTTCCCGACAAATGACGTTACGCGCTCCGATTGGTGATTCATTTGACGTGTGACACAGACTACAAATATTGTTAAAATTAAAAAATTTTGATCATCGATTTAAAAATAGAAATAATTGTGGATTTATAAAAAAGAAAAATCGAAGAATAATCTTTGAAACTTTTTAACCACATACAATTTTTTTTATCGTATTGCTGTCCGATCCCCTGTTTTAGACTTGTTCGTTATTTTATCAATGAACTAGACCACTAGACTAAAACCTTCCTTTTGTCAAATCACCCTATCTATGAAAAAAAACCGCATCAAAATCCGTTGCGTAGTTTTAAAGATTTAAGCATACAGATGGATATAGGGACAGGGAAAGCGACTTATATATATATCTATCAACTCACTCTATCGTGACGATTCAATGCAGCCTTGTGTTTGAACGCTTTCGGGCAATTCCTGCATTTGTAGGGACTCTCGCCGGTGTGGGTGCGTAGATGAATCTAATGCATACAATAATTTAAAAAAAAAATAATTAAAAAACCCCAACCCGAAAAGCACATTAAAATAAAAATTTGGGTTGAATACCGGAAAATACGCTCTGTAGTAGCGAAAAAGTAATAAGTGCCTTTGTAATGTCAATTATTCTGTCAAATTGTAAGATTTTTTATTCTAGTTAGAAGCTCTCCTATGGATTTTAGAAAACTTCATTTTGGACAACTAGTTAGCTTTCCGCATAAATGTACGTTTGTGGCTAGGAGAGACATTACAGTTGTGTCAAAAAGTATGAGTCGCTTGGAACGTTTTAAAAATCAATTAGATAGTAAATTGTATCATTTGAAACATAATAGTAATCCCAATGACTTGTACAAAGATTTCTTTGATGTTTATTTGTTTGATTTGATTTTAGAAAGAGTTACTTTCATAGTGTTATGTCGTACGGTATCCTATTGTGGGGAAATGCTGCCGACATACAAACAATTTTTGTGCTTCAGAAAAGAGCAATTCGATCAATTTATAATGATTATGTAATATCAATGTAAATTGTATCACTGTTTGTTTACCCTTGAAAATAAATAAAAAAAATAATAATAAAAAAAAATTATAATAAATTTATTTTCAGACAAAGTCCATAGATTTGTTAATAAACGAGAACTTTAAAAAAATATAAAAACTTGGCTGAATAAAATTCTAATTGCATTCAGGGGACCTCATAGATTACAAATTACCCACAGATCGGTCCCCCGATCGCAATGATCTATAATACATCTAGTTTCTTTTATTATATTTGATCAATTTCTCCATTCACAATGCTATGGGAATGATAGCTTGCATGTAAATCAAGATTTTGTCCTGTTTTTTTATTCCACGTGACAGATTGATCTCAGTAGACTATGAAATGTGACGTCACAACTCTATTAGGGCAGTATACACACAAGTGTTTGCTTCTAAATAGGAGACTGCCGTTAAAATCCTATATAGCTATCGGTTTGGCAGTATGTCTACTCCTGTATGGAGCGGGTATGCAAGACCTAACAGGACTGACGAATTTTTTTAAGCGCTTGCTATTGAGCGTATTTTCACTAGAGTACCGGGGACAAAGTGGATTTTCAAGCATTTTTCATTAAGTATTGTAGTGTACTTGTATTGGGTTGGTCCATACACGTTAAAACACTAGTTGATCGTTATAATATTTTTTATTTAATTATTTATTTTAATTTTTTATTTATTTACACAACAACACACCGTGATCGCAGAGCAATAGAAAGGGAACAAAAAAGAGGTAGTGTTGCCACTACTCAAAAATAACTTTTTGGTAGGGTTGCCGACAAGAATATTGTTCCATTTACTTTATCGGTCAGTTGCACAAACGTCCATTAAGGTTTAATGACGCCTTTAAGCTCTAATGAATGTCATATTTGTATGGGTAATGTGGCTTTACACTAATGACAATTTTAATGGACGTCTGTGCAACTATCTGTATATCTTGCACGTTACCTGCAATCTCTGATGTACGCTGAATCTCTTCGGACACTCCGGACACTCGTACGGTTTCTCGCCGCTGTGGGTGCGCTGATGGTACATGAGGGTAGCTTTACTCTGTACCGAATTGATAACCGAGATAATAATACATCCCGGTGGCGTGGTGAATAAGCGGCCCGCGATCGTTGTTGTTGAGCAACTTTCGCAACGGTCGGTCACGGGATGGGTGACCGATAAATTATTATGCTTGATTATTATTATTATGCTTCGTGCACGTTAAGCCGTAAGCCGCTGACATCTTCGAATGACTGAATTCGAATTCAAATAATAAACAAGATTTCTTCAGATAAAATACAATTTATTCCGCACTATTAAAAATATACATAAGTCTTGACGCAAGCTAAACAGGACGACTACAAAGAAGACGCCATCTCAACTCAATACCAAATTTAACTCAATACACACCAATCCGCATTGGGTCCGCGTGGAGGGTCACGGCCCATCTTCCTTAACCCCATTATATAGCCGCAACTTACTTCATATTATTCTTTTAATAAACCGTGTATTGTAAAAATTGAAAGAATAATGTAATTTGCGGGGAATCGTTTTCAAATCAAATCACGAACTGTAGAACTTGTCTAAAAGAATCAGATTATATCATCATCATTAGCCCTGTTACGTCCCCCCACCCCCCTCTCACCTCGGGGGCTCAGGCCTCCTTATGGCTAAGGAGGATTGGCCATGGCCTTCCACGTGAGCCAATGCGGATTGGAGGCTATCGACTACTGAAAACGCAGCCAGACCGACGGCTTAGTTGTTTACCCACTACGATCGTGGGCCAAAGCATTTATCCACTACCCCACCGAGCTACAAGAAATCAAGATTATATAAAAATATACTTTTGATATTAACTGTACCTTTGTTTAGTTCAGAAATACTTTAAAACATGCATAAATCACGTACTAGGTACGTGCTTAATCCCGATAACGTACTGTGTACGTGATCGACTAGTAAAGTGTCATAATATACTCACTGTACATTCCTTGCCGCATATCTCGCAGACAACGACAGACAGTTTTTGTCTTCTAGCGCCGCGATACTTCATCTTAACACCCAAGTGTACGCGTTGGAAGTGGATCGCGAACGAACGCTTGTGGGCGAATGTTCTGTTACACTATACAGATAGAGAAACACATGATTTTTTATACATGACACGATGTACTTCGTGTCAACTGTACTAGGGCGTACTATCTGGTACTCAAAAGGGGAAAACTCCAGAGTCAAAGCCAAAATAATCTTTATTCAAATAGACTTCCTAAAAGTACTTTTGAATCGTCCAACATTTTTTCCCTACCACTCGTTCAGCACGTCTTTTGGCTGATAAGAAGAACGAGCAAGAAACTCACCAGCTCTAATGGGAGTAATGACATTCACAAAGCCTATGTCATTACCAGATCAATACATTGTAAATAGAGAAAAAAATGACCCCGCTACAAGCTGTATTTATTTGCCTATGGAGTCTCCAATCCAAATTTATAATGTGATCAAGGAACTTTGCAGCCACTTGCAGGCCCCTCAGAACCGAAAGCCCGAGGCGCACCGCCCGAATTGCGTTTACACAATTCCGGCAACTTCACGTTGTGGCCTTTACACGTAAAGAGAAAATAACAAAATTTTTAAATTTTAAGTTAATATGACTAATTTTGGAAAATAGTTTTAAATTCATTATTACACAATAAGCACAATAAGCAGACCACCCCTTCCCCCCCTCCCCGTTAGTCCGCCACTGGCTAAATCGCGAAACTGCTTTAACTGGGAAAGAACCGCAGTATTTCTCCAGTTAAAGCTATCAAGTACTACAGGAAAAATTATCTTTTTTCTTCAAAAAATGTAAGTAAAAAGAAAATAGTAATCAAACTCTGTAATGCGAAACGCCTGGCGCAAATATTGGAGCAATTAAAAAAAAACACACACGTGCGCACATCAGTGTTGCCATTTTCTTTACGTTATTTTACTAAAGCTAAACATATTTTGTCTGCAGATTCTAATAAATAATCTTAATTAGACTATTACCTAACAGGAGGACTACAATACGCAATTTATTTATAATAGTGTCAGATACCCTAAAATTACACAAACAAAAATAGGTGATTACTTCTTAACTCATTATCTTGTTTCCATTATTATTAAGACCATAGTTTTTTTTTCTCTATCTCTGTTTATAATGTATCTGATCTGGTAATGACATGGTTTTTGTAAATGTCATTACTCTTATTAGAGCTGGTGAGTTTCTTGCTCGTTCTTCTTATCAGCCAAAAGACGTCCTGAACGAGCGGTAGGGAAAAAATGTTGGACGATTCAAAAGTACTTTTAAGAAGTCTATTTGAATAAAGATTATTTTGACTTGACTTGACTAATTTTCAAAAATTGTATCGTAACATTGCTGGGCATAGCAATGTCACACACGCAACAGGGCGTCACATGTACACTAACAACAAAATTATTACCATTATAATTATAATTTTAATGTGACATGCAATAAATTATTTGATTTGACATTATTAAAAAAAGATGCACTTTTAATATAAAATTCTGCAAATAGGCAAATCACTTACCTCCTCACATTTGACAGGCTCTTCCTTGAAATGGGTCTTCAGATGCTCCTTCAATTCTGCGTTAGTCTCAAAATTCTCCCCACACTGTACACATGGCCTATTAATTATAATTAACAATCAATCATTATCATCATCAGCCCTTCTACGTATCCCCTTGGGCTCAGGCTTTTCATAAGGATGGTTACGGAGGATGGGCCCGGACCCTCCACGCGGGTCCAATAGGGATTGGAAGGTGTAAACGACTGCAAATGCAGCCGGGACTAAAGTCCTTACGTGCCTTCCGAAGCACGGAGCAACGCGAGATAATAATTTTTCGGTCACCCATCCCGTGACCGAACCCCGAGAAAGTTGCTTGACAACAACAATCGGCGCTTATCCACTTCGTCACCGAGCTACTCATTACTAGCCCAATATGATTATATCAATAAATAATTAGGCTACGTACACACTGGTGACCATCTACCACCGTCACTTATTGTGCCTGTGGCCTAATTGTTCTATTTTAAAATCTATCACACGAAATTCGCGCTACAACTATTTGATACGTGACAGCGAATGCGATCGCGTAGTTTTTTTGAAAGATATCGAATATCTTCAATATCACGTTAATTCCAATAGGGATGATGACTAATTTTTGTTTGTTTGTCCGTCGGGTAGAGTGTTAAAAAATATTGAACACGTATTTTTTTATTTTTTTCGTAATCATAAAATTACAGCGTTACGTTGAGTTGAAATGTCGCATGACGTCACGTTATGGTACGTTTTCTACTCAACTGTGACGTAGCGAGCCCCCACTCCTCAACTTTAATGTCTGTTATCTAAGCTATTTCTTGTTAAATTGAAGTAAAAAAAAAATACGTATATTTTTCAATTATCTGACTGACGGACTGAATAGAATTGCATTTTTTTTACCCAGTCATCATCCCTATTGTCTAAGGCAATCATTAAACTTGGAAAGCTATGAAGCTGTTATTATGTCTCTTGTTATATAAATCCACAAATCGCTATACCACTGAAAGGTATTATAATAGATTTTCAAATAAAGCAATCAACCCACTGCATCTACCCTAGGGTTGCCAGATGGTCGGGCTTCATCTGGATTGACCAGACATTTCGTATGATCGTATCGTATGACAAATATGTCCCGACAAAATTGTTACATTGTGTAAAATCAATTTCCAAGTATAAAAAAATAAATAACACGCATATCATAAAAATATAATAAGTAGACGTAGGTATATAAGCTGTTTAAATGTTATACTATTATTATGTGACCTTATGAAATGACAAAAAAGTATATACTTGTTATTATTTTAAAATTTAATTAATAAAAAGTGGATTTCTAATTAGATTTTTTTTGTCCCGACTGCGATCCCAAAATCTCGACTTAATTCAAATTTTGTCCAGATATTTTAGTCTCGCTATCTGGCAACCCTAATCTACCCAGTCCAGTCGAGTCGCCGAATAGAGAAAATTCCGTACAATGACCCGTCACTACATCTCTCTCTTTTACTCGTTTACAAACAAGGCCAGATGTGGATTGGAGGGTATTAACATCCTCCAAATGCAGCCGAGACCACGGAGGAGAGATATTTTTTTTTTCGATCACCCATCCCGTTACTGGCCATTGCGAAAGTTGCTTAACAACAACAATCGCGGGCCGCGGCGCTCATCCACTACGCCACCGAGCTACTCTCTTACACATAAACTATATAAGGAAAAAATTACATGAACATTTTACTCACATTATATTACTGCAGTCCACATTTTTGGCTTTGTGCTTTTTCAACGCTTCGACAGTTTGAAATGTGACGTCACAACACGAACATGTAGGTTTCTTCTCGTCATTCTATTGCGACAAAATCAACCAATCATATTTAATATGTATGCTAATATTAAAAAGAGGAATGGGTCCGAAACTACTGGAACGGTTTTAAAAATTCTCTTCACCTACGGGTAGTTACATCATACGCGGTTGACATAGACAATATTTTATCCCGAAAATCAGCAAATAAATTGATGAAAATGGGAGTGAGAGTATAAAGAGGGAATTAAAACGTTAACATAATGACCATTCTTTACTATTCAATTAATCATTGTAATTACATATATCCATGTCATGATATGAAACAATTATTCAAATAAACATACATAGACTGGTAAACACATTACCCTCCTTTGCGTCGCGCAGTCGGGTAAAAAGTCCCTTAGGGATAACGCGGGCGAAGCCGCTGGCGGAAAGCTTATAATAATTGAATTCATGGCCTATTCGCGTTTACACAATTTCGCTAATGTCACGTAGTGGCCTTTACACGTAAAGAGAAAATAACAAAAATACGAAACTTTTAAATTATTCTTTATTCCACAATAAGCACATTACATTAATATTTCGGGGTAATCTGGGTAATTATTGCTAATACTGTAGTATTAGCAATAAAAATCAAAGTTAAAGTTTACATTTCCGAAACCGCGCGAAAAACGCCGTCTGTCATTCGCCGCCATTACGCCGCTAATGAAGTCACACGCTAGTAAATAAACAAACCTCATCGTACTAAAATCGTTAATAGATCGTGTGACGTCATCGGAGTTGCAAAATTTCAGGGGCGTTTTCGTCCCAGATAAAACATATTTAAAAAAAAATCTTGATCCTTTCATGTGTAAAAGTAAATTACTTATTAAAAAAAACTCAATAAACAACACATATTCTATTTGTACGTTTTCGTATATGTATTGATATCTAAGTTAACGCTGTTTTAATGTACGGCCGTGTTGTGTCTAATAATAAAACGTAATTGATTATATCATTATCATCAGCCCTTTCACGTCCCCACTGCAGGGGCTCAGGCCTTCCTTATGGATGGTTAAGGAGGATGGGCCATGACCCTCCACGCTGGCCCAATGCGGATTGGAGGGTACTAACAACTGCAAATGCAGCCGGGACCGACGGCTTAACGTGCCTTCCGAAGCACGGAGTAGCTCGAGATAATAATTTTTTTGGTCACCCATCCCGTGACCGACCCTTGCGAGAGTTGCTTAACGACAACGATCGCGGGCCGCGGCGCTTATCCACTACGCCACCGAGCTACTCGATACTCGATTGATTCTTACCATTAAGAATATTAACATCATAGTTAATAATTATAATGTTAATAATTTTCATTTAAATTCTTGTTTATCTGGTAAATAATATTAGCTTAAGTTATGACCAGAGGTCGGAATTAGGTAGAGTTATTTATGTACTTGCATCGAAATGTTGATATTAATGTGGACCTTCCCGGGATTTCTTTATTTCTTTCTTTCATTGATGTAAGTTTGGCAACGTCGTGCGTGCAGTAGTTTAAATTGTGTAAAAGTAAATAACTTTTTATTTAAAAAATCACGGGACTTTTTCTGCTCTTTTAAATTAATCTCGGGATTTAAGGCATATCCACTTTATTCTTTCGCTGTATGAAATCAGTGTAAGTACATGAATAACTCTACCTAATTCCGACCACTGGTTATGACTTGTGACATATTCTCAAGCAATTACTTCTCTCGACTATAGATACAAGGGTTAGTAATTCTGTCGCATTTGGGTACGGTATTACGTAACCAAATGGGTAACCATTTGGTTACGTAATACCGTAACATACTTTTAAGATCACATAAGGGCTCTCCAATCCCGCGGAATCCCGCATATAGAAAATATCTTATTCAATCAAAGCAAATAAAACGAAGATGTAACAAAAATAAATTCCCTTTTGTTAAAGTTTTGCTATTAGTCATACTAATATCAAATCAAGCCGTTTATTTGTCACTGAAAACAAATATAAATACTGAAAAAAAATATACCAAATCAACATATAAACCAAAACTGTTGACAAAAGAATTATGTCTTTTTTGATTATTTAGTATTGTCATTTTGTCTGTCAGTACGCTGTCAGTTACCGAGAGGACGCCCTCTGTAGAAGTCGTGCGCACGTTTCTTTCCAGTCCCGCGAATCCCGCATACGTAATCCCGCAACACAGAATTATAAAAAAGACATATTAAGATCTCGTATTCCTAGTTGCCTATATAAAATAATTTTATTTTTTATAAAACTACCCTCCACTCTTACCTCTGTGCTCCTGTGAGCCTTCTTCCTATGCATATGGAGTCCATTTTCGCCTATAAACGATTCTCCGCACACTTCGCAACTGTGTTGAGATGGGTGGTGTATTCTAACGTGGGTGAGATGGCTCGTCGATTTCCTTAAAAATATATCATGTAATAATTAAGATCTGGGGGTTAATTGTCTAATTTATCTATCACAATCCCTTTAAAAGGTATAGAAAAAATTCAAGAATATTTAACCACCATATAAAATTATTTCTAATCTAACCTTAGAGCTTTGGATAATATAAACTTGACAACGAAATCAGTATTTGGCGTGGGGATAACTATATGTATAGACAATAGATCTCGTACTGTATTCTGTATTTTTTCGTAAGCTTTCGTCTAACGAAAAGATTTGTTTGCATCAAATATACTCCGAAAGGGGGCGTCCATAAATTACGTGAGATGTTTAAGGAGGGGAAGGGGTCGAGGCAAATCTCATCTAATCTTACGTTGGAGAGAGGGGGAGTCTCGGCAAATATTACGCATTTTTTTTTCTGATAATATACTATTTTGGTCCATTTAATCCAGATTGTACATGCTTAAGATTAAATCTTAAGCGTAATCGTATAAGATTAAGATCATTCACTAATTCGTTCAAAAGAAAATAATTTCATTCATACTTCGACGCTATACATCTACTGAATGTCAAACCACCATATTTGTAGGGTTCGAACGATACTTTCGATACCGAGTAGGTATCGATACTTTCAAAAGCGATACTCGATACTGAGTACTCTACACTACAACAAGGTAAATACTCGCAAGTACTCATCAATTTTGAAAAATCTCACGTGAGATCGGTGGAGGGGGTTGAATAAAATCTCACGACATCTCACCAGGAGGGGTGGGAGGGACAGAAAATTTAAAAAACACCTCACGTAATTTATGGACGCTCCCAAACATATAAACTTACTCGAACGAAGCGCCGCATATATTACATATATATTTGTGCCCGCTGTGCCACTGATAGTGTTCTTTGGCTTTGAATCTGCAAAAACAGATTGGAGATATTAATACAACGTGCGCCGCACACATAGACAACGCTCACGGACACGATATCTCGGACCATTTCGGACCGATGCAAACGCGAGTGCCATCGCCTACAGACAAGCGTCTGTGAACTTTTATGCGCAGAAATAGAGTAACAAAAAGTTTTATATATATATCAGGCACAAGTAAATATTTAGGAAAAGAATCGAAGGGAAAAGATATTGGATAAAGGAAGGTTGGGATCGAGAATGTATCTTACAATACAAAAGAAGCTCCTTATTCGCGGAGGATACGTTCCTTAAATATGCCGCGAATACGGGATGGCATTTAGCATAGAATAATACGTTCAAAAGTTCTTAAATAAAAACAATATGTATGTCAAAATAAGTACAATTGAGGTAAGATTATTGAAGAAGTATCAATTAAAACTTTAACATCAGTGGTGTTTTTTTTAACACAATTAATTTAATAGTGGTCTGTGGTTAGATTCAATATGATTATGTTTAAATCATTGTTTATATAAAATTATTTCTTAATTAACGTATTAAAATCGTATTAATATATTAAGTTGTTTTTGGTAAATCTATGTAGAAAGATAGAATTGGTAATTCAAAATTGTTTTGTTGAACGAATGTATTTAAATCGTGTAATGGTCTCCTACGTGAAGTTGGCAGTAATGTGGTGACGCAAAGTGCCATTAAAGTTAAGAAGAAGAAGAAGAAAGAATTTGGAAAAGGAAGGTTGGGATCGAAAATGTATTTTATAATACTTAATAATAGGTGAACGGTAATGTAATAGGGGTTCCGAATTAGATCTGAGTTGTTGAATGAAATTCTTAATTCTTGGTTTTTATATCAAATTAAAATATTACTTTGTTTGAGATACTACGCCGGTTCAGATCAAAAAGAGAGATTACTGATATCAACCATCAAGAAAACCGTAAGCTATTCAAATATTAGAGGAGAGTACTGACCGCAAGTCTTTCGGAGATTAAATCTATGGTAAACGGTCGATACAATAGGCTTGTGTCCTACAAGTGAAAATACAACTTTTTGTTATATCTTCGAAAAATATGAACCGTTTTAACTTATAAATATTTAACAAAACAAATTTTAAGTCACTGATTTTGGAAAATATTACGCTTTGAAAACTTGAAAAAAGTAGAGAAAATCTACTACAAAAATTGTCTATAATACATAGGGCATTAAATTAGATATAAAAAAATGTAACAACTTTCATTATAACAGCTTTAAACATAAACGCACAAATAACAAAGATATTGTCCAGACGCCCGTACATTTTTCGCTACTGTAGCACCGTGTGACGTAACTGAGTGCCTTGTATTTGTAGGGAGCGTTTTCGGCCAACTAGCAGCAGTTCTACAAACACAGCACCGTATCTCCGAAACTATTAATCGCGGACATGCTGTTACTTCGACAATATTTCTCAGATGTTAATGGACTATTTATTTATGAAATAAAAAAAAAGTTGTCAACTAGCCTATTGCAATATATAAACATTATATAGTGAAGTGTCTTTGAATAAGCTAGCATTTGTTACAGAGAGTGTTGTATATCGCAGGAGCAGATGATACCTCAAAGAAACAAGCTAGTTAGTTGCACACTGATTTATTATAAAACAAGGCGTGACCCGCTCTGACTACCCACATACATACAAAACAGAGAGGTAAGTGATTGCGGCGGATTTCATGATAAATGCTATATCTTGTTTTGGGTTATAAGCAGTGGTCGGAATTAGGTAGAGTTATTCATGTACTTACACTGATTTCATACAGCGAAAGAATAAAGTGGATATGCCTCAAATCCCGAGATTAATTTTAAAGAGCAGAAAAAATCCCGTGATTTTTTAAATAAAAAGTTATTTACTTTTACACAATTTAAACTACTGCACGCACGACGTTGCCAAACTTACATCAATGAAAGAAAGAAATAAAGAAAGAAGATAATAATGAAATCCCGGGAAGGTCCACATTAATATCAACATTTCGATGCAAGTACATAAATAACTCTACCTAATTCCGACCTCTGGTTATAAGTTCTCTTAACAATATATAAATATTGATAAGAAAAAGAGTATAACATAACCTGTGCTATTATCATTTACAAAGTATTAGTTAAGTAAATACACAAATCAGCGGCCTTAGCCATTGCGAGGCTCCGGGTGGTAGGTCTTTGCGAGGCCCTTTGTCCTTCGTGAAAAGTATGTGATTCGAGAGTAGGTCTGGTTGTTTGGGTTAAGTATTTGTCATGTTCGAGGAGAAATGCTTAAGTTATACAAAGTGTTATTAAAAAACCGATCTTCAAGTGGTTCGAAGGGGTATTCAATTATATTTAGAATGAATGATTTAGTTAACTAACTTTATATAAATTAACTGACACAAATAATATCTAAATTTTAAACTTTCGCGTTGCATTATATTAGATTGTATAAGACGGGTATTAACGCGATAGATTTCGATAGTTAAGTTTTTCACCTACCTATATTCGATAGTTAGTTTTTCACCTACCTATATTCGATAGTTAGGTTTTTCACCTACCTATATTCGATAATTAGTTTTTCACCTACCTATATTCGATAGTTAGGTTTTTCACCTACCTATATTTAAAAATTTAACTATCGAAATCTATCGCGTTAATACCCGTCTTATACAATCTAATATAAATAATATGTATCCACAGATTATACCATAACACTTAACTGGTTGTGGGGTTACCACCGCTTGTCAAACTGTAACGCCTGTGGTTCTAAACAGTAAGTAATCACTTTTTATAATATCAAAATTATAGCTTTATTTATGTACCTTATGCATTCATAACATTCTAAAAAGAGCAACACTTTTTCAATATTTCACAAAAATTTAATTGTGATGTTGTCAACTACATAAAACCTCGACCTTTTTCATTTGCCCGCGACCCCGTGCCTAAGACACCACCGCCCCCTAAGGTTCGCGACCTACAGATTGAAATACGGTGGCATATGTAAATTTTGTAAGTACATACCTTGATTTGGTAACGTGTCCGCATAGCTTACAAACGTATCTTTTCTCGTGTGACGTCAGATGAGTACGTAACTTCCCGACAGTCGGCCATCTTGTTTGGCAGATCTCACAAACATGGCTCCCTGTTGACTGATAATCATTCATTTCGGTATTATACAGATTTTTGTTTGTTCGATTTACCTATTCTCAAAGGGGGAAAGACAAAGGGGCCAATACAGCCGTGTAATACATAGACTGGGTGATACCAGTCTTTTTAGGTTTGTTTAAAGATGATTATGAATATACAGCAAAAGTAGAAAAATGTGTTATTATTTGTAAACGGTAATAGAATATAAATATCAATTTTCAACAGGAATATCAACCTACTTATTTACTCACTGACCCAGATAATCTGTAATTTTTCAATAGAGGCAGAAACTTAAAAGTGCGACATTCCCCTCCTTGGGGAACTGTTTAGTGCCATGACAATTAGCCAATATGTTATTCCACATTGATCATTATCTGTATATCCAATTTCATCAATATTCATTCAGAACTTTTTGCATGAAACAGGAAAAACTTTCACATTTATAATATACTAGTGGCCGCCAGCTACTTCGTCTGCGTTTTCCATTATTTCTTCGCTTCTAATAGTTGCAGTGTGATGTTATATAGTCTAAAGCCTTCCTCGATAAATGGTCTATTCAACTCAAAAATATTTTTTCAATTCGAACCAGTAGTTCCTGAGATTAGCGCGTTCAAACAAACAAACTAACTCTTCAGCTTTATAATATTAGTATACATGTATGATATACAATACTCACCGGATCATGCGTTACCATATGATTCTTATATGTTGCTGATGACATAAACCCTTTGAAACACTTATTACATTTGTAAAGAGACTGCGAATAATTCAACGATTCCATCCTAGCTCTAACTTCGTCCATCTGCTGGTCTTTACTTAAAATTATCAACTCAATGTCATTGTTATCAAACGGATCAACATCTTGACTGTCACTCTCTGAAGCTTCATTGTCTTGATTATTTTCAAACACTTTTTTTTCGCACTTTAACACTTTCTTTTTTTTCACTTTAGTTTTTGTTTCTGTAAACTTTTCACTTAATAATAGATGAACAGGCTTATGCTCAATTTTGATATGTGTCTCATAGTTTGGTTCCTCATTGTTGAAGTCTAAGTCATTTGTGTCTGTATTTGAATTATCTTCATATTTGTTGCAGATTTCATCTTCTATGTGAGTCTCATCATCGTAATATGACAAATTGTATCTACCCTTGCTGAAGTTTGATAGAATATGCGTGTTAAGATGTAGACTTGCTACATATTCCGTAGTAATCTAGAATGGAAGTGAGAGTATGTATTTATACATTGGCATTGAGACTTCCACTATGTACATACAAAAAACTGCTATGTATTCCTGGATCCAATCAAGACTTCACTAGTATCAAAAGCAACTTTAAGCCAAGACTAATGACAAGACAAGACTAGGGCAAGTCAAAACTAGGGTAACACTAGATAAGGGCAACACCAGGGTTGAAAAAATACAATATATATACCATTTATGAAACAACTTTAAACGGCTTCATTGCATTTGTATTTAGATTTATTGATGTTTTAAACCCTGTACAGGATCTATGTTCACATTAGACTAATGTGTTGAATGTCTTTTTAATAAATTGTGTACCTTCAAAACAACATCGGTATGAGTCAAGTGCACAAAATCCTCCAAGAACATTTAGCGGTCAGGAAGCTTTGCGCCAGGTGGATACCTCATAATTTGACTGAGGCTCAAAAACTCCATCGTGTGGATTGGAGTCGTAAAATGATTGAAAGATTTAACGGAGGTGACTCAAATGCTGTGTTCGACATACTAACAGGTGACGAAAGCTGGATTTACTGTTATGATCCTAAAACCAAAAGACAATCTGCTCAGTGGGTGTTTCCTTTCGAGGAGTTGCCAACTAAAGTGAAGAGAGATCGAAGTGCGGGAAAAAAAATGGTGGCCTCGTTCTTTGGAAGGATAGGTCATTTTGCAACAATTGTGTTAGAGGATCAAAAAACAGTTTCTGCAGAATGGTACACTACCAATTGTTTGCCACTTGTCTTGGAAAAAGTTCGAGAGAAACGACCTCGCAGTAGGATCCTCCTTCACCACGACAACGCCTCGTCGCACACCGCCAAGCGAACGATCGACTATTTTACTATTGGACACATTTACAATACAAAAAATTATGGAAAGATTTACATTTATTAAACTGTTTTAAAAATACATTTGACTTATTTTTTTACCCCTGGCTACCATAATCTATCACCAGTCTTGTCTGAGATGAACTGGCGAAACAAACTGACAAGAAATGTGATCGGCTAAAGGACAAGCATCCAAGCCAAGAATAAACTATTAAAAAAAAACAAGAAATGTGAATTGCTCCCTTTGATTTAATATTTACAGAATTAACTAGCTGCATCTTTTTGTTTTCATTGGATTTACTCATAGGATAAAATGTTTGAATTAAAAAGTAGAAATCATATCATAATATTATTTATCAAACAAACTCAAGGCAAGCTTGACTAGGGCAAAAGTCGAGAGACAACACTAGACTAGATGAGGGCAAGACATGACTAGAAAGAGATTAACACAAATATAGTGAATTAATCAGTTAAAACCACCAACACAACACTTACCAGATGATTTTGCTCATATGCAAACTTCAATACCTCTAAACTTTTTTGGCAGAGATTTTTGAATGACAACCATTTTGTTAATAAAGTACTGCACACACCACAAGTGTACTGAGGATATCCATCTAGCGGCAAGACCTTAAATAAAAATCAAAATTCCTTTAATATTAAAAACTTTATAACACTGATCAATGAAGGCAAAAAATGCATTTACTATATTATAAGTCAAGTCAAAACAAGTATAATTTTAAAGTTTTTAATGATAGTTTACTTAATCGGTTAAAAAATCTATTTTAATTAAAATTTCAAAATTTTACTAACTTTAAAGCCAGTTAAATTCTCATACGCAGATTCTAGTCGGTATTTGTATATATCATACAATTTTACGTCTGTGCATAAACAAACACGACAAACTAGCAATTCACCCATTATTTATTATGAACATGTTATAAATTTCGTCCAATATAAATAATTTAAATTAAAAATCATCACAGCAATATAATACACAACCAAAGCAAAACCACAACACAGACTAAAAACAATTATAACCAACAAATAAACCAATAAACTGTCAATCAAAATCAACTGTATACAGAACAGAACAACTTTTAATTTATTGTGAGGGAAAGAAAAGTAAAAAATATCTGCAGGATCATAAATATTTTATCTGAGTGCATGGTAGTCCATCCATAGAAGTAATAGCTACTAAAGTTTTTACTTCTTTCTTGTATCTTCCATATCTCGATAGCTTCATCACCTACATATTATACAATAGTAGATTGTATATTTTGTACTTGTGGTAACGGCAACACTAGTGATGACATTAACTTGTGTGACGTATGAAACAATGTTACCAATTATCGAGTGAAATACCCGAAAAATGAGTAAATTTGCTTGTTTTTTACAAGCTTTAAATTAAAGCTTGTCTTGGTAGTATGTATGTATTTTAGTTAGTTCACAAGTCTTGGAACTCAAATTTAATCCACTTCTTAATTTCTGATGGATTTAAAATTTTGCATACCTTTTGTAGACATGTAAGTCAGATGACAATGCAATATTTTGGTGTCAGTAAGATAATATTATGATAATGAAGTCGGAAGGTGGTCATAGGAACTTAGTAAGGACTTTGGTACTGGATGCTTTCCAGACATAGGGTGGGTAGGGTCATAGGAACTTAGTAATGAAATGAAATAAGTTTTGTAAAAACAAGCTTTTATTTGAGCGCACTAAAACGTAAATAAAAAAATTTATGCAAATATATTCTCTAACAATAATTGACTTGAAAAGCTTGTAGCGCGTACATAATATGTATATTTCCACGTCTCCGTTTTCATTAGCATAGTCATAAATTTCACTAAAATAATGAAAGCGCCCATTTGTGCTGCCGTCTAGTGAAGTGACAGAAATTTGTTTAGTTTCTCTATTTTTATAATACTTCCTCATTGTCAGGGAAAAGAAGGATTATTATCTGGCAACACCGGTGACAAGTCGCATAGATACAAAATGGTCGAAACCTGTGCTCCATAGAAAATTAATTGTGTAAACCGTGAATGCGTGATATTAATCTTCATTTTTTCTAAGTAGAATCTGTGTCCCGCTTTCAGCGATGAACGAAGATAATATATTTGACTGTTCATTCGTGAGCAACCATTACGTAGTCTGTGGATGTGGCGAAACTTTGGAAGGCGAAGAAGCATATAGAGATCATTTAGAAAATGGGCATAAACATTGCCAATTGCCGGAAAACAATGATATTTGTGAAATAAATGAATACGTATGCGGTACGGTTAGTATCACGAAAAAAATATTACTAAGCATTGTATGTATTTATAGTCTATATTATCCCATTAAAGAAATTATTCTGGAATTCATAATTGTGTTCTGTGGGTAAGCCAACGAAAGCAGAAACAGTTTAAAAGTTTTGTATCCCCCGTTAAAATGTTTTTTTTTTTAATAAATACATATTGTGAAGGTTTCAAATATATTATTCCAAGAAAATAAAATATAAAACTAATTGACAAAAATAATGGTAAAATTCAAAACCATTGGATATAATGAAGTAGAAAATTACCACCAAAAATACCAAGGATTAATCTTAAATTATAAAGAGGTGATTAAAAAAATAACTTTTATTTTATTTTATTTATTTGTTAATTTAACAAACTTTATTGTCCATTAAAATGGTACAAAAGGCGGACTTAATGCTATTAGCATTCTGTACCAGTCAACCTTCGGGATACAGAAATACTCGATATTTTCTTTGTTTTTTAAGTTCCTGGCCAATACATACATTTTTAAAGTTGATTGGATTGACTTATATTGTTTGAAATTGAATCAAATTGATTGTACTGCAACATGCAATAAACATTTAGACTTTTATGAAATTCAAAAATATTAAATTAGATTGAATGAAATTAAATTATTTTTAATAACAATAGAATAAAGTTTAATTGACACTAAATCAATATGGAAGTACAAATTAGAAATATTTTTTTTTATTCTTATAAATAAATAAGTTCCCAGTTAATAACTAAAAATTTATTGTTATAGTGCAATAAAATTTTTAATACAGAGGACGAATGTATTGAACATCAGAATATACACATTATATATGTAAAGGAAGAAAGTGTTGATGAGGAGATTATAAACACCATTTCCATTAAAGAAGATGCTGATGAAGATCACTACATAGACAGCTCTCTTGATATCAAAAGATACACGTTTGTACCGAGAAGTGTCTACTCTGATCCGACGCAGATAATATACAGAGTCGAGAGTAGCGTTAAAAAAGAGGATGATGAAAAGAAACGGAAAAGTGTATATAAAAATATTGTTTGTGATATCTGTCAAAAACGATATGCAGTAAGTATAAAGAGTCTTATTTATTAGTGATACGCCAAATATTCGTTTGGTATTTGGTATCTTTATCAGTATTTGTATTATGTCGAATTATTCAGATTTGGTGCCGAATATATTCAGGTTGAGAATTTCTATTTTCTTCGCTTTCCAACACAGTTTAGTACTGAAAGACTGTCTTCCTTATTTTCTTTTCTAAGATTTATGTTATATTGTAAAGCAAAGAGTAAAGGAAAAAAGAAAATAAAGGAACTTCAACAATAATTTTTGTCAAAACGGTTAAATAGTAAACCCATCTAATTTGGCAAAATATCTGTTTTGGTAACGTTTAAATTTAATATTATTATTTAAATTTTATAAATTTAATATTATAAAACTACTTTTTGGCACATCTCCACTAATTATCTTTTATCTGAATCTTCTGTCACACATGTGTGATTAGTGATTAACTAGTAGACAGTAATTAAGGTAAATATCTTAACAATGGTAATCGCATAACTGAATAATTTTATGTATGTCTTTATTGTTACTAAACAAATTGGTCCTCAAGGCTGGATACAATTGCATATTATATACCTAATTTGTATGTTTTAAATCATACTATACATAAGGAATAATTTTTCTGTGTTATGTAAAAATATTAGGCCTAAGTTTTGGGGATAGGGAGAACTCATTTTCTTATTAATGTCATATTTTGGAGTTCAGCAACAAATGTTTAGCTACATTGTATTTTAATGTACAGACATATTTATATCCATAGTGCTATAGAAATAGAATTAAAGTAACCTGCATCCTTAAACTGCAGTGTCTAAGATCATAGTGCAGTAATACATTGTTGTGATACTATTTACAGTCCTATGCAGCTCTCCGTTACCACAAACGTGTTCACTCCGGATTGAGGCCGTATGCTTGCTTGTACTGCCCGAAGAAATTCACTATGCCCTTGTTTCAACAGGTGATTTTGATTATTTTTCTATTTATTACTAATAACTACAAAATATAAGCATTGAAATCCAATAACAAACAATTTTCTTAAACACCAACTGTTATTTTCATATTTCTGATTAAATAATCTCTTACGATCTAGCAAGTTATTTTCGGACGTTATGCTTCTTAGTCTAGTGACTAGAATTAACCAATTACCGAAATTGATATGAAAAACTAGTGTAAATATACATGGATGGATGCAACAGTAGGTATCGATATTATGAGAGAATACGAAAACAAAATTTGAAATCGAACTGTCACTACTTAATTTTTTTTTTTTTTCATTCGTCAAGTTAGACAGTAGATTCTTATAAGAAAATGTTGCCAATATAAAAATAAAATATTAATAAATAGCTTTAGTTCAGTGTTATGGTTAGCACGCTGGTTTTAAGATGGCGCGTGGCTCATTGAGGTTCGATCCCTGGTCATGTTAATGTAGAAAATGATCTTTTATATTGTCTCAGGTCTGAGTATCAAGGAATCTTGTTAAAGATTTCCATAATACAAGTGCTTTATCCACTTAGTCCCGATAGGAAGGTGCGATTTAGTAGCTGGCTATTTTTAGAGATGCTATCTAAAATAAAATAATAACTAATTGGTACCTAGTAGTTATATAAAACTAATTATCTGTATCGACGTCATAAATATAGTAGCCCATCTCTTAAAACGTTCAGCTACCAAGTTGCACCTCCGTTATAGTGATGCTAACGTTGACTAAATGGACAACTCGATGGAGTTTGTTGTGTATTTGGTAACTCCGCTAATTAGGTTAGGTTATTGTATACTGTTATAACACAATCTTATCTAGTTTAAAAGGTTTATTTTATATTTATAACTGATTCCAAGACTATCTCAATAATAGGGATGACAACTATGTCTTTTTTGGTTGTCCTTTCGGTAGATTATTGAAAAATATTAAACTCATATTTTTTTCGTAGTCATTAAGTTACGGCGATACATTGAGTTCAAATGTCACGTGACGTCTTGTTTTGTACATTTTCTACAGAACTGTGACGTAGCGAGCACCCACTCCTCAACTTTGATGCCTGTTATCTAAGCTATTTCTTGTTAAAAGAAATACGTATCTAAATGTTTTGTATTATCTGACTGACGGATTAAATAGAATTTCCTCTTTTTTCACCCAGTTGACATCCCTATTCACTAGTAAATCTGCTGTATCTAGGCGTGAATCTCATCTTATGTCAATGTCAAAGTGGCAGTGATAGCTCACTGACAGATATTAATTCACGATAAATAGTGATGTCCATGGTATTCGATATTTTTAGTCTTACAATACATGTATATATAATTATATTGTTGTTAGATCCACATGCGTATCCACACCGGCGAGCGGCCTTACCAGTGCCACGTGTGCCCCAAAGCGTTTTCCAACAAGGCGGCCTTGTTGAGGCACGACAGGGTGAGTTAAGGTCACACCACACTGCCACAGCCAGTTTCTGAATTGAGAAAAGTACAAAATATATAATCTGACTATTCACACCCTGCACATTATACCATAAGTATACTCTCCGAACGATTCGTAATCAACGCTGGCCGCTAATTTTCAAATATTTAGTTTATCGCGT